GTCACTGAGAGGCATACCCTGTCTCAAGTAAACAAGCTGGACTGCTCCCAAAGAACAATACAGCTGACCTCTGGTCTCCATGCACACAGGCACACGTCTGCCTGTGCATCCGCACACGTGAACATGTACACACAATTAGTTAATTCATTAATTTAGAGAGGTACTGAAAGGTAGCATTTTGTTACACATATCCAAGCTTCTTCTCTGGGTCAAGTGTGAGAAATGATCCCGATTAAGGACAGAACTTATCTCACCTCTGTTGTCACAACATCCCTTGCATACCTTGTGTTCCAGCACTTTGTAGAATGTGTACTATGCTCATTCTTATAATAAAGTAACACCATTTTTCATACAGGTGTGAGTCACTCTAACTGGAAATATAAAGTCATCTCTCCTAAACTAAGTTCTTAACCCAGGATTCAGCTGGATCATCACAAGCCCTATTAAGTTTTAACTGAATAGCTGAAGGTATAATTTAAGTATGATTTTGTGCATCATTCAGTCTCTTACCCACAGGTAGAACAAGGCCAGTTTAAAGGAGTTTGATCATGAAGGAAAGCAGTGATCTCTGTCCTGCCGATAGGACAGCTTGAAATGCCAGCTTGAAAATGAAACATTTATGCCTTGCATAGCTCATGCTGAGGTGGCCGAGATTGATTTTCAGTTTCTTCTGAGGGGCTCACACTGTGCAGTCCCTGATTCACAGAATATGAGTGTGCCTGTGTTTGTGTATGTGTGTCTGTGCATGAGTGTGAGTGTATGCATGTCTTTGTGTGTGCCCATATGTGTGAGTGTGTGTGTGTGTGTGTGTGTGTGTGTGTGTGTGTGTGTGTGTGTGTGCGTGTGTGCATGTTTGACTGAATACTTGGTGGGAATTGAATGTGATGTGAATCTGGAAGCAACTGATCTAAGTGTGAATCATGATATGATCCCCTGTTTATGAGGATTCATTCAAAAGCAGAAACAAAAAGCCAAAAGCCAGAAGTCTTTGGTTAACATTGGCAAGGATGATCTTGAAGGGAACTAAATTTACAAGGTCTATCCACTCCCAATCTTTCTGTCTTATTGTGTAGAATTTTTTATGTCAATAATTATCACTTTGCTGTTTTCTGTTAAAACATCATAGGAAGCATTGCTCTTAGCAAAGGAACCCAGATTAGGTACTGAGTCTTGCATCTTGCACGAGGAAAGAATCCCAAGGCTTTAACTACTAGGCTGCTTCTTTCTTTGAACCTTGAGGCAAGTCATAATAAAAACATAGCATGTTTCATTCTCTTCAGTAAAACCTAGACCTTGTCATAGCACTGAGGAGGACAAGCAGATGAAGGACATGGACAGAGGCACTTCAGTCCCTTTGAAGCTCATGTTGGGAGGACAAAGGGCTCCCTGCTGAGGCCCCTCTGCTGGTCTAGATCAGTGGTTCTCAAGCTTCCCAGTGCTGAGACCCTTTAATGCAGCTCCTCATGTTGGGGCAACTCTCAACCATAAAATTATTTCATTGCTACTTGATAACTGTAATTTTGCTACTGTTATGAATGGTAGTGTAAATATCTGACATGCAGGACATCTGATATGCGAGCCCTGTGAAAGGGGTCAAGACCCACAGATAGAGAGCCACTTCCTCTAGAAGGTGACCAGGTGCGTGTGAGCCAAGGAGGATCACAAGACATGAAGATCCTCTTCTGAGCAAACATTTCTCTACGGAAGCCTTACTCAAGGAACGTCCTTCCTTCTCCGTATACTGCTGACCAGTTAGTTACCCTCCAGAGCTGGGAGAGACTGAGGAGCGGGTGGCGATACTTGGGTTCTGCACGTTCGTCTGTGCTCAGAACTGTTAACAAAGGATTGGAAACAGCCACCAGGAGGTTGGGAGGGGGAAGAACTCACTTTACTCTTCCATAAACATCTCCTGTATCACTTAGACTTTTCGTGTAATTAACTATATATTAATGTAGTGACTCTGAAGTGTGTCATATATTATATAGTATATGTCACATACATTTCTCTCAGCTTATTGTCTTCTTTCAATATTTCTTTTTTCATATGCAAAAACACTTCTCTGAGGTGTTTTTTCTTCATTATGGTTTCCACTGTTTAATCTTTTCCTGTGGACTAGTCGGATTTTTTTTTAAGTATGTTTATGGTTATAGAGTCTGCGCTTGTACCCTGCTGAGAGGGAAATGTGTGGTAAAATCCCATCTGGGTTTTGTCAAGCACTGTATTAACAGCACAGGATACAGAGAGAAAGGCTTTAAGAAGTGGACATGTGGGATTGTAATTAATGGGGGTTGTTTATACTCCAGCGGTTATCTAGTCCCTAAGGGCTGTGAGGGTCCAGTGCTCTCTGAAGACAGATACTGTTTTATGAGCAGTCTCACAAAATTCTTTGTCGCACAATTCAGAGTCGCTCCTGGGAAAAGGCCTCCCATTTGCCAAAGCTGCCGATAGAAAACTGGAATCGAGGCCACCCAAACCTACTGGTGACAACTTCTGAGTCTCCTGTTTGTGGAGAGCAATAATCCGAGGAACAGAAGCAAAAGAGGTCCGTGCTGGAAGATGAGAGGCACAGCCTCACAGCGGCCACACGTTCTCCAGAGCGACCTCCTACATCCAACCACACGGCTCTGAAAAAATGACGAAGTGTTCAGGTTGAGGGCCAAGTGTTTTCTTGCTGCTGCTGCTGCCATCCTTCTTAATCCTGTTTCTCCCCCGCCCTCTCTTTCCTACAGTCTCCTGACCACTTTGTTGCTCATGGCTTTGTTTTATTTTTTGAGATAATATATTACAACATATCTCCCTTGCCTTGGCTCCCTTCAAACCGTCCCATATGCCCCTTCCTACCCTCCTTCAAATCCATGGCCTCTTCTTTCATGAATTGATATCACATGCGTATTTGTATATATTCCCCAATACGACCAGATTGTTTTGATTTGGTAGTCTTGATTTCTTCCCTCTCTCCTCCTTCCCCTTGTTTCTGAGTCACAGCTAACACTGCTTTTCCTGATCTGATTTTTCTCTCTTTGCTTGTTTTATCTTGGTTCTTACCCCGTGAGTTCTACATAAATCCTCTTCTCTAATTTCAAATTGTGTTGCCAGTGTCTATGCTCTGGAACCCCCATGAACATCAAACCTCCTTGCCTATCATTGGATGGTGGTTTGGGCTCTGCCACGCACAGCTCAAAGTCAAATGCGAGTACTTCCCATTGTCTCTTAACGAGAAAATATCATCTCAGGGCCTGATTTTACTTACATTTTAAATGAAAACTTCTGGTTTGGGATAATAGGTTTAGTCCTGCTCTGTGAAGGAAACCCCCTGGCAGATTAATCATATTCTGCTTGAATGCTATGTGGTGATTACATGATATATGCAGTCATTGCCACACGGTTCAAGACTTTACTAAGTAACTGAAATATTACTTAGTAAATGAGCAATTTACTGAGTCTGTGACTTGACCACCTTACTCCTGCAGTGTCCATATCGACACCCATCCCAGACAACCCTCCTCCTTTCCCACTCGTCTTATTTACTCGGTCCACTTACACGGATTGCTTGTAATGGCTTTCTGCTTGACGTATGTGTTCTCTTCACCCTAAAAATAGCCATAATCAGCTCTGTAAGGAAGCAGCCTCCGTTTCCAGCTCTTCGCGCTTCTTCAGTATGCAAATGTGTCTTGTTTTATCCATGAAAAGCAGATAAAACTTGGCCTTCTTCCCACTCCCTTTAAGACCTATTCTTGGCCCCTCGATGTCACTGCAAGTTCCCCCAGAACGTCAATCAGCAGTCCTCCGTGGCAGGAGCACACAGAGGTGAGAATGGTTTTTGTTTTGCTTTTCTGTTGCTCATTTTGCTCTGTCCAGTGTGATACCAGGCTCCACACTCTGCCTCAGAGGGGGCTTGTGACGGATGGGCAGTTTTCTGTGCTACTTCCCATACCAAATCTCAAAACAGATGCTGCAAATCTAAACTAGACCCACACGTGTGTCTCATTTGGTTCACAGAGACATTTTGCAAACCTGAGCAGAGGGGCTGGGGAGATGGCTCAGTGTGTAAAGGTGCTTGCTCCTAAGCCTCGGGACCTGAGTTCAATCCCTGTGTAGCCACCATTGGCCATAAGTGTCTACCGTGTGCGTGCCCTTGGAGGCTAGAAGAAAAAGTCAGATCCCCTAAAGCTGGAATTACAAGCAACTGTGAGAAGTCTGAGGTGGGGCTGGGTTCCCTGCAAGAGAATACATTCTTAACCACTGAGCCATCTCTCCATCCCCCCCACTTTTTTTTTTATTTGTTTGCTTATTTACTTGTTTGAAATAGATTTTTCACTCTGTAGCTTAGGCCTGCCCAGAACAACTGTGTTGTTCAGACTGTCCTGAAACTCAAAGCAATCCCCTGCTTCAGTCCCCACATGCTGGGATTACTGATGTGAACCAATTCACTCTTCCAGCCTTTAAAAATAGTGAAATATAGCATATGTAATAAAAATAGACAAAAGAAATGCACAGAGTTTAGTGAGTACTTACAAAAGCAAAAATCATACATTTACAAGATAGTCAGGCATAGTGCCAGTGAAAACATAGTTATTCCTTCCAGAGCACAGCCATCCCTTCCCACGAGACAGCACCAACCCAACATCCACTGAATTCAGTTCCTTGACTTTATAGTCTTACCTCTTAAAACATTATAGCCTATTGCTGCCTCTTATTGGACTGAATTTTATATAAAGGTCATTTGATGTCTGCAAGTAAGGTAGCCATAGGAACTTCCTCATAGAATTTCTTTCTTAATGTTGAATTTAAAGAAATCATTTTAGATATAACATCTTCTCCCCATTCCCAACAATCAAGTAAATGCATAACCTAATGTAATAAACTGATTTATTTTTTAAAATGTCAACCAAGAGAAAAATGAAGTTCTTGAGTACACACTATTGTACACAGCAATTCAGTCTCAATTCTTTTTTTTAAAGATTTATTTATTTATTATATATACAGAAGAGGGCGCCATATCTCATTACAGATGGTTGTGAGCCACCATGTGGGTGCTGGGAATTGAACTCAGGACCTCTGGAAGAGCAGTCGGTGCTCTTAACCTCTGAACCATCTCTCCAGCCCCAGTCTCAATTCTTAACTTCACAACTGCCCAGAAGCCTGTTGGGGAATAGAAAAAGCTCTCAGAACATTTAATTAATACTTCCAAATATTTAGAGACATAACTGAGTAGGCATCTTTATCTCATTTGACTAAGGAATAGTGGGGGAAACTGTTAGGATAGCTAGGTGGAATGGGAAGTAAACAGTAGCAAACCACTATGGACCCTTTGGGTCTATGTAACAAAATCCTAATAGCTAGTAGCTTATATAGAAAAGACATACATTGCTAACAGTTCTGAAGGCTTGAAAGTCTAAGGTCAAAATCCAGCAAATTTCATGTCTGATAGAGCCAACTTTCTGGTTAACACATAGTACCTACTGACTCTGCCCTCATAGGGTAGAAGGAGTAAGGGTTTCCACAGAATCCTTTATAAAGTTACAAATTCTATCCATGATTTGCTCTCAAGGTCATCTCCCAAGAACCTCACTTCCTGATCCTATTACCTTGTGGGTTATCATTGCAATGTACACATTTAATGGAACTCAAACATTCAGACCATAGTTATAACTAAGAACTTCATGAGCATTTCCCTAGTCCTAGTGAGCTATGTAAGCCCATTGTGTCCACCCAATTCTCCTGACATTTAACATGTCACTGACATTTTAAAGCTGGGTTATTTGCTATCATCTTGAGCAATAAGAAGGAACGGAGGGAATTTAGGGAGGAATTAATGACACATGTGATAGATGATCAGAACGATATAAGATGGTGGGGCATCTTAGAGATGATAATGCAGGAAGCTCTTGCTGTTTCTGTGCGCGGGGGAAGGGGGAGCCAGGGATGAGGCAATGACGTCATCAGAAAGCATCCAGGACCATCCAGCAGTAACCAGATCATGGTAGGCCTATCTATTGGGGTACTAGAAAGACAGCTACACTGAGGCTCATTCAAGACCCTTCTTGGGGCTGAGACAGAAAGAGAAATAAAATAGTATGGCTTCTTCCTTTTTTCTGCCCTCTCTTCTGCTGCCCGGACTTCTACTATAAATCTGGCTAGAAGCTGGTTGGTAAGGGACGGTGGAACGCAAGACCTTCAAGAGTCAGAACTTGTGAACAACAAGCAAGGCAGAGAGAGGTAAAGATTGGATTTAAGAGCGAATGAGTGGAAACCCGGCATCAGGACTATAAAAGAGGATTCAAGTATGACTCCCAAGTCCTTGGCTATCAGTGTGAGACGATGTCCTTTTCCAGGATGGAAAATATTGAAGAAATAGCAGTTCAATAAACTAAACTTAGAAGCCTTCTTGTGTGTGCGTGTGTGTGTGTGTGTGTGTGTGTGTGTGTGTGTGTGTGTGTGTGTCTGTGAAGCTTGGGAAGTATGTTAAATATCTGAGTGAGGCTATCATAGGGGTCCAATCATACCAGAAGATTCTCCCTCACTGAAGAAAAAGGGGGAGAAGGAGAAACAGACAATGCAGCAAGGGGAAAAGGGAAGGACCCCAGTGGCAGAACTCTATGTGCCCTGCGGTTGGATGACATGAGTGCTGAATGACAGCGTTCTCCAGGGAAGGGGGCAAGCAGCACGGGCTTGACAAATCCTTTCAACAACTAGAACTGAGGCATGCGATGAGGGTAGACTCAGAAGACCGTCCCCGAAGGATGGTGACTACTCAGCCTCTCAGGTGGACAGATGATGGAACAACACCACATTGACGATCTTCCCATCCACAGTCTGGACACGGTGGCTTGTCACAACCCTGACATCCAGGGTGTGGATAGTGATGACAGAATGGACGGAGGCTAAGTCAACGCAGCCTCGCTGTATGGAGATTTAGCGACAGGCATTGACGAATGTCAAAATCCATCTTCTTTTTACCACAAAACAATCCTCCACAATGCAGTTTTCAAAGACCAGTTTATGTCATCCAGCTTGACCCAGTGGTGGGGTTTTAACAGCATGGACTGGAGGGCTCTGGGCTCTGTGTGTAGCAAACTTTTTGAAATCTTCCACCATGAAAGATTTAGGAGAACCAAACATGATTTGTTGCCTAGTGTAAGTTAGTGAGACAAACACACACACAGGAAAAGACCTCCCTAAAATATACGTTTGTCCTTCCTTTTCTTTGTGTAATAGAATCTGTGCAGACTCCTACCTACCGAGTGAACAGGTTATTATAGTATGAGCGAAGGTGGTGGTGCATTCACTTACTGATTTTTCTTTATCCTTTGGTATAGATATATAGATTCATTTAGGATTATATGTCTTATATATATGACAAATACATCTGAAAGGTAAGTGGGTACTCATTCTGAATCCATCTACCTATCAGAAACTTGGCCTAAGGCTGGAGAGTACTTGCCTCAAAATTAAGAGGACCAAAGTATGACCCCCCCAGAACCCATATTTTAAAAAATCAAGACACGCTGGCATGGCTTGTATTTGTAATCCCAGCTTTGGGGAGGTGGGAAAAGGCAGATCCCTGAAGCTCACTGACCAGCTAGCTTGGTTGAATCAGTAAGTTCCAAGTGAAAGTGAGAGATCCTGCCTCAAAAGACAAGCTGGAGAGCAACTGTAGAGGAGACTGGATACTGACTGTCCTCTGGTTCCCACCTGCAGATGCGCACATGTACACCGGTACACACAGAGAAACCTTGCCCAAACTCCATTACCAGTTTTACTACTGGCCAAATCGTATTTCTAGAACACATATTCACACTTTTTTTCCTGGAAGATGAAAATTATATGCTTGGAACTTTGAACTTTTCACACCGCTGCGTGTAGTTTAAGGGGAAGAAGTCTGTTCTCCTAGTGGCAAGTGTTTATATACAACTGTATCATTTCTCCAGGGGTGAGATGGCAAAATAGTAACAAGTTAAGCACGACTTTGGGTCCAATTCTCCTTTTTCAAAAGAGATGGAATTTCAGAAAACTGAAAAAATCTTCGCATCGTATACAACTCCGTTTCCCCATTTGGATCTGTAGTGCGGGCATTCTGACTCTGCATTTTCTACTATTTCACTTTTTGGTACTAAAATGGTTTTCAACTAGATGTGGTGGTGTGCATTTTTAATTCCAGCACTCGGGTGGCAGAGCTTGGCAGATCTCTGAGTCTGAAACCAGCTTTTTCTACGTCGAGTTCCAGGCCGCCTGGGGCTACCATAGTGAGACCCGCTCTCAAATACTAAAAATTCTTTTCAGTGATAGTAATTTCGACACCCCAAATTGTACAGAGATCTAATGATGGGGGTGGGGGGGTGTCTTTATTAAACAATGAAAGAAACTAACCACGTAGTCCATCTTCTCCACTGTCTGAAAAGTGCTTAGGCCTGTCTGCTAATGTGAACAGGAAGCTCATGTTGCTGTTATGCGCATGCCTGTTCTATCTCAATGCGATGTTAATGACTCAGCAGTGTGGGAGCTCTCCCAACTGATGGAGCAACACCCCCCACCACCCGCCCCGCCCCATACCATGTGCGTTACCCAGAACTGTAAGCAACGAAGAGCCATAAACATAAGATAAAGCGTGCTGGCTGTTAGGATTACGACAGTTCTTTGTTCCCAGATACTCTGGCCATGTGTATGAGCGAGCAAAAGCAGCTATCTAGCTTGAAGGTTTAATTAGCCGAATGAAGGCAAACTGTTGATGCTGGACTGGCGACAGTACAATGAGTCAACCCATATGTTTTCTGTCACTGGAATATGAGCCTATAAACAGACTGTCTGTGGGGGAAACTCACAGATGACTGATAAATGGATCTTGGCAGTGGCCTATGATCAAAATTGGCAATAACTGAGGAAAATATTGACATTGATAAAACTAGTTGAGCAGCCCAGGAATCCTCCTGGACTAGAGAAATTTTAAATGGAGCCTTTTTAGATGGGAAAAGAGCGACAAATGGAAGCAAAAGCTTTTCAGACTGAGGCCCAAGTAAATGACTATAGATGTGTGTGCGTGCATGTTCGTGTGTGTGTGTGTGTGTGTGTGTGTGTGTGTGTGTGTGTGTGTGTGTGTTAATTCTTGCTGCTTATTAATGATTCACCGGCAAAGGAAGGAAAGTATTCTGATAACCTACAGCTCCAAAGCCTATTGATCACATTGGGGCGTGAGAACTCGGCCATCTGTCTTGATTTGCTCTGACTCAGGGGATCTCACGCCTTGCCCAGGCCTTCTCAGAGAGCTATGGGTAATGAGAAGGAAAACAGCAGTGGCTTGAATTCCTAAGTCATCAGTGCTAGCTAAAAGCTTGTTCCACAACTGTTCTGGAGACAAGTGGGAGCTGACAGCAGGCCCAAAATAGCGGTGCTGCTCACCTAACTATTTGTGTCAAAATCCTGCCAGAGAGATGCCTGTTTATTTCAATGAAACACTTTTGAGGCTTCAGTTATCAGAGGCATACTTTTGTGGTGTGTTGGGACCATGGCATCTGTCTCTTATGATTGAGCTATCACTTGAGAATAGCAATATATATACTTGTTAACCAGGTGGGAAATTTTCTCCATTCAGCAGACATTTTTGAGCATTTGCTGCATGGCAAACTCTCTGCAAGTCACAGAGACTACAAAGATGCGTGAGATATTCTAGGTGGAGCTCTTGATTTAGTAGGAAAGTGACACAGGAACAGATAAGCTATCACAGAATGAAATTCATATTTAAATGGAACACAGAGCTCTGCTAGCTCCCCAAACAGATGGACTTTGCCTGTGGTTTCAAGGAATAGCTTTATGTAAGGGCGGAATGGAAACTCGGTTTAAAGATATTTTCTAGATGGAAAAAAAAATCAAAAGAATTGGAGGAGAAGGGCGTGTTTATAGAACTGACTGTGCTTACAGTTTTATGAGTGTATACTTCTCTACAAACTCATCAACTTGAATACATTTAGATGTAAAGCTTTTGGCGTGTCAATCAGATATAGCCAGACAGGAGGCTGCAGAGATAGCTCAGTGGTGAAGAACACTAACTGTTCTTGCAGAGGACCCAGGTTCCCAGAAACCAGTGTGGTAGCTAACAGAGGATTCGTCATCTTCTGCCTTTTGAGGGCACCGGGCATGCACATGGT